TGGGCTTGTTGATATTTATTTTATGCCTTGGATTATAATTCGATATGACAGTATTTGTGGCTGAAATTGTTTCAGCCTTGGCCACTGGGAGCTCTTTCAGGTGGCTCCCGTGTCCTTTGACACCCCCATTGTCGTGTGTGTGGGAGTGTGTTTTAGCACTCTCCTTACTTTCTGGCCTTACAAGATGCGCCAGGATCATGGTATATTTTCTCAGTCAGGCCCAAGAATGAGCCATTTCGCCACAGAGCCCTGGTTACTCTTTTTAAGAGTTCTATTAGAGACCAAGATCTGGGCTCTAGGGGTCCTCGTTGCTCCTGGGGTGTGGTTGCTTCTAGCTGCTCCCAGAAGACCGAGCTAGAAAATATGCGCATGTACACATTTCTGTAAATATTTGTGCATGTACCCATCTGTGTCTGTCGGAGCTAACCATGAGTCCATCCTGATGTCTCGTGTTAACTGTTCCCCTGGAGACCGTCCCAGCCTCTTCCCTTGCTCATCTGCCATCCCCTCCCACGGGGGGCTTCTGAAGTGGGTCACAGCAGTTAGAAATGCCCCAGGGCCTCAGATGGGTGCAGCTCGTCATGGCCGTGTTCCCTGGAATGTACCAAGAGCCTGGCCGAGCCCTGGCTCACTGCTCTTCTTGGCTCTGCCCAGCTGGCCAGTCCAGTCTAGTGCTGTGAAAGCTTCTCCAGTGTGTTTCCAGGTGCTGGCTCTGAGCTGGGAGAAGGTTATTTTCAGGGGTTCCAGTGATTTCCTTGTAAGCTCTCTCCTGCAGAGGTCTGGCTTGCAGTGTCTGTCTGGCCTGAGCCGGCCCTGTGTCCCGTGGGGAGAGGACCAAATGCAGTGTCTTAAATCCCTGTTGCTGACCTCCTGCCTCCGACCTCTGTGAGGTGGGAGCTCTGATTCAAGTGTTGGGTCTGTCCTTCACTGGGGCATTTTTCAGGTGGGTCCTCGGGGGCCACTGCAGGAGCATTCCTGAAAAGAACAAGCAGGTGTGTGGCCGTGTGTGTTCTGGGAGATCCTGTTCTTCTCCAGCCCTTGGTGTGTCCATGTGTAGAGTGGGATCAGTGGTGCAGAGATGGAGTGGGGGATGTGGGACACTTCCCGTGCACCCCCCATCCTCCAGACCCTCTCAGCAGAGTGGTTCTGTCGTCTACACACCGAGCTTCCATTCGTCTCTGTGGTGTTGTATTAGTCATTTCTGTTGCTTACAACAGAATACCTGAAACTGGGTAATTTATAAAGAAATGAAATTGATTTCTTACAGTTTTGGAGGCTGGGAAGTCCAAAGTCCAGGGAACTCATCTGGTGAAGGCCTTGCTCTGGTGGGAACTCTCTACAGGGTCCCGTGGTGACTCAGGGTGTCACATGGTGAGAATGGGCTGAGCAAGAGAGAGTTAACTTCCTCACTTGCTCTCCTTACGGAGTTGTCAGAACCACGCCTGTTACTCCAGGAATTGGTAAATCCATTCACGAGGGCACAGTCCTCACAATCTAATCACCTCTTAAAGGCTCCACCTTTCAGATACCATAATCGGATTTCCTACCCTCTTAGCAGTGGGGGTCAAGCTTCAACGAATTTTGGGAAGACATTATATCCACAGCAGGAATCATCAGGAATATCCATGATGTCCTGTCCCTTTATCCCTGTGCCCTGGGGTTGGGGGGCTGCTGCGCATGACCCCTGCTTCAAATCTGTCTTAGTCAACTCAGGCTGTAACAAATGCCACGGCCTGGGTGGCTTCAACAACAGAAACTGCTCTCTGCATTCTGGAGGCTGGAAAGCTGAGATCAAGGTGCGGGCACGGTTGGTTTCCTCTGAAGCCTCTGTCCTTGCTTGTAGATGACGTCTTCTCCCTCTCTGTCCTAATCTCTTTCTTTAAGGATACACTCAAGTTGGATTAGGGCCCACCCTTCTGACCTCGTTTTACCTTAATCACCTCTGTAAAGGCCCTGACTTCAAATACAGTCTCATTCTGAGATCCTGGGGGTTAGGGCTTCCACACATGGATTTTGGGGAACACAATTCAGCTCCTGCCTGAATGGGGCTTCCCAGCCAAGGCTGTGGTTCCTAGGCACTGATGTTGTGGGGGCTCCGTGTGTTGGCAGTGAGAGCCCTTCTTTGGGCTACTCCTTAGGTCTCCATAGTTAGTGCATTTGGTAGGTGCTGCCATTGTTGCCAACCTGCCCATCCATCTGATGGAGAGACTGAGGCACAGAGGGGTGGTGCAGAGGGGGATGTGGGGCAGGTGGGCCCTGTGCTCCTGGGCTCCTTCCCTCTCATAGCCCAGCTCAGTCCTTGGTGGGATGGGAGCTGGGCAGGCTGTCCAGATGGGGAGGCCAGCCGCCTGGGCCCTGCAGAGCCTGCCTGGCTGTGGGCAGCGCCTGCGGCTATGGGCCGCTGTGTGGTTGGGGGTGTGGTGGTGGTATGTGGACGGCCTGTACTGGATGCTTCTGAGGGGGGCAGAACTGGATCCACTGCTCTAGGCATGGCTAGTGGGTGGGGTGGATCCCCTTCTCCCAGGGTCCTGCAGCCTGTGGATCCTACATCTTCGAGAAACTTATAGTGACCTAAGCCCCCTCCTCATCTTTGTGTTGAGCAGGTGCTAAGCCACATTGCCACTGTTTTGTGCTGTGCTGGGCTGCTCATATTTTGGACCCAAATGAATCTCCAGCCATGAGTTTGGAGAGCTCCACGGGGAGGGTCGAGAATCCCAAACCCTGGGGACAACTTCATGGTTGGTGCATTTGCATCAGTAGATGCCATTGCCCAGTGAGGAAGCTCCAGTTCAGGAAGATGTGAGGGCACGTGATCTAGGGGGGCACCTGGGCTTAAAGCAGCTGTGAGGTGGTGGCAGATGCCACCCAGTCTTCCTGAAGCATCCCTTCCCCCAGTGATCCCTTCTTAACAAGTCCCCTTGGTGGAATTTCCCTGAGGGGGACAGCACCCCACCCACAGAGGACTGGGCTGCGGTGCTGCCCATGTGTGGGAGGGCGTTATTTATTTATTTATTTATTTTTTATTGAAACATACTTGATTATACATATCTGTGGGGTACAGAGTTGAGTACCATTATCTGTGTGCAATATGTGATGCTCAAATCAGGGTAATTGGTATATTCACTATTTTACAGTGTAATTGTTTTTCATAGTCCTTTACCAATTCCTCCCTTACCCCGGAGGGTATTTATGACAGTTGGAACCTGCAGGTTTCTGTTCCTAGGGGCAGAGGAAGAAATGCCCAGGTTTAATCAGACATAGACATTCTCCAGTTTTGCAGCTGACCAAGGGACAGGCATTTCTTACAACGTGTATGAAATGCAGCCCTGCTGGGCGGTGGGTGGGCAACCTCTCTCAGTTAGCTGCTGTGTGGGGCCCTGGTGGGATGTACCATGGTCCTGCCTGGCTCCTGGGAGGCCCTCTGTCAGGCCCTGGGCCCTGTGGTCTGCGAGACATAGGGACAGACCAGATGAGGAGACCAGCTAGGGGCAGCGGAGAGGTGACTTCAGGGCAGGACACTTGGTGGACTCAGAGCCTGAGATCTGAGCCTGGTCCTGGGTCCTGTCTGCTATTGTGGTTTCCTGTGAAGCCTCCTGTGGCGTCTTGAGTGGAGTTGGGTCAGGGCCAGGAAATCATAAACAGCATGTTCCTGGGATTCTATTTTAACCAAAGCATGCAGCGACCTTCCTGGTCAGGCCTTCTCAGCAGGCCTGAGCCTCTGAGTCTGGGCCAGAGGTGAGTGTGTGCCCCTTCTTGGCTGCCGGCCCCTGTCACATTTCTGTCCTCAGGTTGGGGGCAGCCGAGGGACCTTGCACAGCTTGGGCCAATGTACGCTGCATTTCCTCACTGGCAGGTGCCCATTCACACCCTGATGGACATCCTGGTTTGGTTGTTTGTTGTCAAATCTTCTTCACTGAGTCTTTCTAGACTGTTCTGTGTGGCCTTTGTGGGAACAGCCATTCTTCACATTCAAGTTTTCTAGGTGCGTTGGTTTCCTGGGGGCTATAACAAAGCTTCACAGCCCAGGCGGCTTAAACCACAGAAATGTACTCTCTCACTGTCCTGA